CTTAACTGTTTTAGGCGTTGTACATGACTATTCGGTGATTTTAATTGTAGGGTAATTCGCCTAGATAACACAAAACAATACGACTATTCAATGATTTTAATTGTAGGAATTTGTCTGATAACACAAAACAACATGACTATTCTGTGATTTTAATTGTGGGAATTCGTCTGATAACACAAAACAACACGACTATTCAGTGATTTTAATTGTAGGAATTCGTCTGATAACACAAAACAACATGACTATTCAGTGATTTTAATTGTAGGAATTCGTCTGATAACACAAAACAACACGACTATTCAGTGATTTTAATTGTAGGAATTTGTCTGATAACACAAAGCAACATGACTATTCAGTGATTTTAATTGTGGGAATTCACCTGATAACACAAACCAACACGACTATTCAATGATTTTAATTGTGGGAATTCGCCTGATAACACAAAACAACACGACTATTCAATGATTTTAATTGTGGGAATTCGCCTGATAACACAAACCAGAAGTTCGCCGTTATATAATTAATTTCATTGTTGCCTCTGGACGATTTAATAATTTACATCATTTTATACACGAACATTCAAAGTTTCCTGGCTCTGAGCTAAGATCACTTTTTTTCTTCTTTCCAAGCAGCATCGACAAAATCCAGGATAACTCGGAGCGGACGTGGCAGCGGTCCTTCAGTTTCCTTCGTCGTGGAAGCAGTCGGAGAAAGCGTAACAGCGGAGAGAGCGAACCTTCCGGATCGCAGGTCGGGTTCAACAATCCTGTTGGCAGAAATCAGGATGCATGGTTATATACTGAACCTAAGCTTGTCCCACAGGTTGACATTTCCCAGCATGGCTGACGCGAAGCTGCATGTACAACAAACTGTTTTCTTGCATGTTAACTTCACACACGTGTTTCTAAAGCACATATCTATAAAATATATACATGGGATTTATTAACTAACATACTTTGAAACTAACGTTACATTTTTTTTCTGCATAAGGCTTGTAAAAGTGCTGTAGAACAAATTACTCATCTGTTTGTTTGTTTTCAGAAATGTTACTGTGTTTATAAAGTTCGTGTAATACATAGGTATGCTTCAATTGTCGATACCTTGTTGTGATACCACTGGTATAAGTCATAATAGCACGTTCTGCCCCTGTTACAAGTTAGAATGACATTTATATTTCTGTTAAATATGTGAATCATTTCTGGTTAGTATGGTAAATTACGTTTTAAATACTTGACCCTAAAATTATTATGGAAGATATTATTGACCTGTTCAGCTTATTATTAGCATATCATTTTAATTCGGTTCTCCCTTTTAATTCCCATATGAAAAATTATAGAGAAACATTGATATCAATGACAAGATACAAGAATAAGTGACAGCTCCTTCTCAATGTCACGGATGGCTCTGGTGGTAGGCTGTTGCTATGCAACATAGTTTCCACTGCATGAAGTTTTTGTGAGATACACGAAAATTCGAGTTGCCTCCCTCCTCTTTGAAAAGCTTTCCAAAATCCATCAACGATGTGCGGACGAGTGTCCGTTTTAGGAACCTAAAGTACAGAAATCTGAGGGGGGGGGAGTCTCAGAATGCCGTAGCATAAATTATGTTTATATTGGTGGATAAACTGGCATATTGCACTGTTGGATGCTTTGTTTTGGTGGAGTAATGCTTTATTACCATCAACTCCGTACAAAGATGATAATATCTTGGCGTTTATCTTAATACTGTAGTGTAACCTACAACCAAGATAAATCAACTGGAAAAACTTTTGTGGTATGCTTTGTATACTATATTTGAAATGTGTATCACCGGTAGGAAAATAATAAACCGTTCGGACTTTATTGCAGCAATATAAGTAAGGATATACTTCGTCCAATGTTGGCGATATGCTTCAATCTGTATGAAGTCTGTGTGAGTTATCTTCTTTACTGTTCTAAGGAAGGTTTCTACGCCATGACACTACAGTGTGTTTTAGGTTACTTTAGGTGAGAAGGTGTTTAATTGTCTTCACCACTTCCGTTATGTGACAGGTCGTGAAGTAATATGTTGTATTTCCGGTTCAAACCACACCTTTGTCCAAAATAAATCTTGAAACTATATATATCAGCTTCATTCCATGCGTTATACAATAATGCAATTCCTGATGAAAGAAAAAAAAAGAGGACCTCAGAATGATTATTTTCTTCGCAATCAAAAGAGAGTACTATAGATAAATTACTAAACTTCAACGTTTCTTGTTGTCTTCGACCTACACCGACTGATTGTAAATCTCCCAATCTTTATTCCTGCGATCTTCGCTTTTCAAAGGAAGCTGGAATCTCGGTTTTGTGTCGCAGTGACGCATTACTTATATACCACCAATTTGAAAAGTGCTTGCGTCATTTGGAATTTGTTTATGTTGAAATTTACCCAGTGAATATATATAACTTGTAAAATCATCAGGAGAAAGGTTAAATCCCTCTGATGTCTATAAGGCAGATGGGAACTGGTGCTTAACTCCGGTTTCAGTGATACGAGTTGGCGCATGTCTCCTCTGTCATCAGAGTGTACAATAATTTTAGGATTTTACGAGTTAAAAATAGATCGAGCGGATAATTTGAAAATAAAATCGGAATTCCTGGACGTACATGTAAAAATAAAAAAACTTGATTAATGCATAGTTTACATTATATTTAGTAATCTTACGATTTTGTTTATTAAAACAGTAAGTTTAAATAACTGACCAAATAAATTGGGCGAATTCATTCAATTTCTATGTAAAATGCATAGGTACCCCAACAGTAATTAGTATAATTGATATTGCTATGTGCATGTATGTTACTAGTATGTTATTGGGGATGTTGTAATCAACAAAGTCAGAGTTTTACAAATGATTTGGTGCATAAATAATTTAGAAAATCGTGATTAAAAATTCTATGGGGCCCATGGACCCCATCAAAATGATTTGGTAGATAAGTAGTTTAGAAAATCACAATTAAAAATTCTATGGGGACCCATGAACCCTCCTCTGTAATCTTGGGGTTAATCCTTATTCATCGGAAACGTTTTGTCTTCCAAACGTTATAACTCAATAATAAGAAAATAATCGGACAGCTACATCATGTTGAGTAGTGAAAATGTTGTTGGCCATTTTTACGCTAAGATTAATAACCAACCTGTCGTTTTAGCCATTAGTAAATTATCATATCAGCAATAGGTCATTTGCACCAACTTTTTGTTGATGGTAGTTTCCAGTGTATATTATAATCCGTTGATGGTACATCATGACTGTTTGTTTTGAAAATAAGGTTGATTTCAGTTTGGTTTGGATATTTCTGATTGTAGATTGTATTGATAGAGGCCTTGATAATTTATTTATTGTATTTATCAAAATCCTAATTACTGCACTCCAGCGCCGACCTTAAACAAAAAAAGCGACGAGTTTGAGACCTCATACTTTTCCAAACAAATAAAATGTATAATATATATTTCTGTTGTTACTTAATTCCATAAAATAACAAATAGTTACATAATCTTAGCTTTAATTAATAAAGATGGGGACATATCCCTGTCAATGTTCTCTGTGACCTGATTACCCAGCTTCCCGAGGCCTTGCCCTTTCTGTGACTAGTATTGTTGCATGCACACATTCTGACCCTTCTTGGTCGAACATTCATTATTATTCACACCGAGCCTGAACATGAATGAAGCTTAGAGAAAATATTTTATAAATGTAATATTTTCTCAGGCCGAATCGGTTGAAGCTTTCTTGTGAACTAATCGTCCAAAGTGGGCGCTTAATATTTCTTTGAATAATTTAACTATGTAAAAACAATATATTTACGTTGCCATAAGTTATATGAAAATTTATCCACCTAACGAAGGATTCAAAAACTTGTAATAATGAACTAATATATATTTATTGACTTGTAGTTCTCTAATATATAATATACATTACCTATGAACTAAGTAATACTGGGAAGCACTAGTGAATCATGGAGATAGTGCACTTAAGTTAAACTATATTTAATTAAAAATTATAATGATTGTATAGAACACGCGCAGTAATAACTCTTTGCACTCCTCTCATTGTTAAAGCACAGTCAATAGAAGCATGTTAATGGTAACTTGGGAAAAATCTTATTGCATGATTCTGGCACATTGTTGACATTAAAGAGAACTATGACTGAGCTTTGGAGTACCTTGTTTACTTCTTTTATTTATTTCTTTTTGGTTTCGTTCGCTGTTTTGTTTGTTTTTAGGTTTAGATATATTTATGCAGAACACTTGAGTGAGGTTGGAGACCGCCGCGAGTTACGTCGAACATTACATGTATTTTGTTTTCTTTTGTTCTTTAATGAGGTTAGCTATTTATATTGTTACTTCTTTTTTTCATTGATTTAAATTTTTCAGCCATGATATGATGGGTGAGTTGACCAAACATATAATTATGAATTTAATTTCATTGGAGATGAAACTACTTGATTTAAACTTGAGGTGATTATCTGTAAAATACGTTCTTAGCTACATAGAGGCACAACAAAAACAATCGAGTTATATGTATTTTTACACAGGTAATCTCCAAAAACTGCAATAGCTACAAATAATAATCGTAATGCGACGCTCTTCAGTGGCACAGAGGTAAGTCTGTGGACATATAACGCAAGAAACCTGGTTTCGATAATCGTGGTGGGCACAAGACAGATAGCCCATTGCGATTATATAAGGAGATTTTGATTAAGCAAGTTCTCCCTTCTTCTAAGGGACCGGTATGGCCAGGTGGTTAGGGCGCTTGACTCGCAATCTGAGGGTCGTGATTAGGAATCCCCGTCCCACCAAACATGCTCGCCCTATCAGCCGTTGGGGCGTTATAATATGACGGTCAATCCCACTATTTGTTCGTAAAAGAGTAGCCCAAAAGTTGGCGGTGGGTGTGATGACTAGTTGCCTTCCCTCTAGTCTACACTGCTAAATTAGGGACGGCTAGCGCAGATAGCCCTCGTTTAGCTTTGCGCGAAATTCAAAAAACAAACAAGTAAGCGACAGGAAGCATAAATGTTCTCTTTTGAGATAAGTAAAGTAGATAAACAATGTAATAGACACACCTGTAATTAATTAAATTAGATTTTAGTAATAAAAATTGTGAAATTTTGTTCATACTTCTCTTAATTTCACCATTTCGTATTTCAAGGCTGATGAAGCATTGAAAATCAATAGGCCTAATTCTAATGTTAAACGAAAAGCCTTCTGGGCAGTGGTTTGTGGGAAATGAAAGAAAGATCTGAAATACTATTTTTACACCCATCTGATTTGAAATCCAAAATGGAAAAATCAGAGGAATGTGAACATAAAAGAGAATCCTAAATAGCCGCGGCACTTGAAATTCTTTTAGGTAGGATTGGAGAATTTAATCTATGAGACCTCCCCCCTTTTTTTATTAGCTATATATTTGTGCGCCAACAATACCAAGTGTGGGGAGCGCGTTTACCCGATTCCATTTTATTACTCATCAGGATCTCTACCAGCCTAACTTCAAATTGAAATTCTTTTAGGCAGGATAAGAGTAAATAAATCCATGAGACCTTGGGCGTGGTTAAATATATCAGTCGAAAGTGTTTAACCTCCTGAGTACAAAAACTTAATTAGATATCAAATCGGTCAAGAGATGACGGAGCTATTAGCTGAAAGTTTGTACTTGAAAAAAAAATCAGAGCTTTTCTATCAACCACTATACCGCAGCTAAAAATCATCTCCATTTTACGCGATTTTTATCAACAATGTCACGCCTATTCTTTGAGAATGCTGTGACAACTTTAGACATTTAAACTGTAACATTTGAATATGATATCCACAGAACTAAAGACAATACATACCACATAAAGTTCCCATAATATTCATACACATGACACCTTCATCACACGATTGTACTTGCTTATAATACAGAGTGCACTGTCTTAGTCTTAAACAGTGGCACCCAAGATTATAGCATAAATTGTGCTGTCCCAGTCTTTGAAGAAGCAATAGTTCGTTTCCAGGGCTATAGCTTCTGTCTCAGTTTTGAACAGTGGCTCCCAAGTTTATACTACAAAACGTACTGCCTCAAGTACATAGCACAACATTTACTGTCTCACTTTTGGATAGCAACATCCAAATGTGAATTAGATGACAATCAGATAAGTTACAAAAGTGTTTGGTTGTCACTTCAGTTATGAGAAATTTGTTTTATGCTCCTACCTTTTAATATAAAGAGGGCCGAGTACGTTATAGTAAAGAAATGTTAGAGCCTCACCACGTCATTAAAGTACGCCTATACGTTAAAGCATACTTTATCTGACGACTATGCATCTTGGCAATATACTTGCAGCGTATTTTCCATTACATGAGACTCTGTCGTGAGGTTGTCATGTCCAAAGCATACTATTCCTCCCTAAAGTGTTCCCATAATCCATATATTGAACAAAATCTACAGATTCTTAAAACCTGTTTCAATAGTCTGATTGCATAAAAGTTCGTAGGTGACTTAACCAATATATCTATGTATAAAACATGAATATCCATTTTATTCTTCGACTGCTTGAGATATGCGATAGTTAAACGGGAAGCCTTATCTTGGTGAACCCATATCCTGTTGGCCTCGTTTCCAGAGATAAGTCTTTCTTCCTTTTTGAATGTGTTGCATACTGTTGCCTAGTTTACGTGGGTGGCTTTTACCACTGCACTTTGCTTGCTACAGCTGGAGTACGACGTGTTATACATTTCTTTATGGATATACTGGTATCCCAAGTTGATCCACATTCCTTTATTTTCCGAGGGATATCCTCATCTTGCAAATTCTATATCCCTAATCTGAACACAACTTTGTGATCTGAATTAATAAATATTTTACGTCAGGAATGGCCAATATATACCATTCCCAAAAGCGATCAAGTTTCGGTAGCATCGCACTACCTGCAAAAAGTCAAACATTGTCAAAGTGTAGTTCTGATAGTGCTGCGACTTTATACTGGTAGTGGTTATCGCGTGTCTTGCTAATTTACATATTCAAAATCATTTAAGCGTAACAGTTCTAGTTTGGTAAAGATTATTATTCACATTTATCTACGCAACATAATATCTGCCCTAAAATTAACACTGAAATAAACATGTATCAAGGAGTCAACCTAGTGGAAACTCCTGCTCTCATAAAGATTCGTCCAAACCACTGATAAGGAACAATATATCGCCATTTGCTCATTCCTTTTTTTACAAACTAATCTGGGATTTTCTTTGATTTTTCATTGGATTGGAACCAAAGGTCTTAAGCACCCGTTGATAAAGGGATTCATTTAACTCCAACATGCAACATGAATCACTTGTGACCACTACCAATCATCTTTCACATGGACGTATATCTATGCATAAAGCGTTATAAGCGTTAACATGGCTGTTAACACCTCCCTCCCTCTGGTTTCATATCACCGACATTTCTTCAACAACACTGATATCACATATCTCTTTCTTCACTCTATTATACATGTCATCAGTTCGTTTTCAACAAGAATAATATCATACACTTCCTTCTTCACCGGGCCCGGCATGGCCAGGAGGTTAAGGCGCTTGACCTCGCAATATGAGGGTCACGGATTCGAACCCTCGTCCCACCAAACATGCTCGCCCTTTCAGCCATGGAGGCGTTATAACGTGACGGTCAGTCCCACCATTCGTTGGTAAAAAGAGTAGCCCAAGAATTAGCGGTGGGTGGTGATGACTAGCTGCCTTCCCTCTAGTTTTTGACTGCTAAGTTAGGGACGGCTAGCGAAGATAGCGAAATTGAGAACAAATAAACAAACCTTCTTGACCGAATTGTACGTATTAACAGCTCCAATAGGTCTGATTTCACACACCTCCTTCTTCCCTATAGCACAAGAAGGATAACACACCTTTCAAAGATAAGTATAATTGCATTTTAATTTTAACAGGTTTTTTTTTACATGGTTATTAATTTTTTTCTGGATAAACAAGAGTTCTTCATAGTTTATTCCACCCTGAGGTCTATAAGCAAAACCTATTTCTAGTAGATAGTGATATTATGTATACCTTACCAATACAAACTATATATCACAGGTATTTACATGAGAATTTAAATCTTTATTCAAAACTATAAACTCCAAATTTTGTCTTAACGTTTACATTTTACGCTCTTGTACACATAAAAAAACAGGCACATTAGAAACTGAAGAGGTATGTTACTGTTAGACTTTGATGCAGTCTTTATACGGTATTAGATATTGTAATATTTTTCTTTTTACTTTTAATTCTTGCATGATTATAAATAAAGCACTTTAATACAACTAAAGTGGATTTGCTCACATAAGGATTTTTTTTTCTTTTTGTATTAAGTGTGAATCTTCTTTACGAATAAATACAATGGATTTACAATCGCAGCAAGAACATTCCTGCAATTCTCAGCAATGCATCCTCACAATTTCCCGCTTCCATCTTGTATTGAGCACAGATTTGCTACTGGTTATGCATTTTTAGCTGGTCATTTGGAGTGAGATGTCACTATATACTTAGTTCGGTATTACTTTACAAATATCTAAGTTTTAAGAAGCATCAAAGATGTATAACTATAGGAATTACTCTCGGGTGTAAACAGGGCATCGAAATGTTGGACGTGAATGTAACAGGACCACCATCAACTGATAATGCAGACGGGGAACCAGGACCCGAGGAAGTGAGTGGGTGACCCTTGTTACTGTTCTCAATGTTATCTACGCTTCTTGTGCTCTGTTTATTTCAAAATGTGACGTTCCTGTCTTAAGTTGTTCTTTTGTTACGTAGCTGCTTACTGACTGTGTTTCTTATTTGTAGGGTTACATTAGTTGTGTATTATTTAGAGATCAAACAGTGAGACATTCCAAACATTTCTCTGATGTCTCATTTTATGTTTGTGTAATAAAAAAAAATTCAAATCCAAGCTTCGTAAAAACATATTTTATTAGTAGATTTGGGTTTTAAAAATAGAGTTAAGTGACATAAAACAAAATTGTCCAAAGCGACCCAATGGCAAGAGCAACGTGGAGTGTGTGTGTGTTAAAAATCACGTTCTTCAATGAATAAGGTAAGCCCTCAGTATTCTGGTGGTTAATTAATATTTTATTAAAGGATTTGAGTTGTTTTCACACACATAACAAAGTAACATCTTAAATCCCATTTTTCTAAATGTGTCATTTTCCCGCGTTAATTCTCAAATTATTGATGTATTTTAATATCGTTCACTCTCGGTAGAGTAACTGAGTAATTTTATGTTTTTGTTTTGTATAAAATTCAGTTTAAAAAAACTGACCGTAAACTGGATGAAATCACATTTTCTGTGTAAATTACATAACTGATCCCAGTAGTAGTCAGTGGAATTAATTGCAATATTTATTTTATTTTTTAATTTTTTTTGTGTAACTTGTATGTTATCAAGGACCCTGAAGCTAATAAATTCATGTGCCCATAAGAAGTTTGGTATGCAAGTGGTTTAGAATTTTTTTTAAACCTGATGCTTCCTTAAGGTAGAGTTAAATGTTACTTTGATGAAATATTCTTACTCCACCATTATCTTTTTTTACTAGTGATAATATATTCCAGGTAGTAAACTAATGATCCATTCAGTAAGTTTCACGTTAAAAAATTAAAACTAGCTAAACTGTGTTTTCACAGAGTGTAAAGAATACTAAAAAAAATGGTTAAAAATGCTGTTCATACTTAGTTTAACATGTCATCAGTAACGGGTTTAGAGAGAAAAAATGCTTCTAAATTTATTTTCTGTAAGTTTAGAAAATTATGTGCAAGGTCACTACAAACAAATTAAATCTGTAAAGTTCATAACTGACGTTTTAGCGGTTAAAGCCATCGAAGCTAATCGAACTTTTGTTGCTTGCTAGTGGGTATCAGGTCAGCATATTGATAATTGAATGAAACCAATAGAATAGCGTCGTAAAAAATCGGTAACTATAGCTTTAGTTAGGTTTCAGTTTTCTCGTAAGCGCCTGGGTCATCGTGAAGTTATTTCGATGTTGTCCGTTCTTCATACTAGAAACTGAAAGGTGTCATTATATCGTCCAAATTAAAAGTGTATGCTACGAAAATATTTCTTAGTATGCTCATGAAGTCTAAGCCGGTGAATAACCTTCATGTGTTACCATACTATAAATGTGCATAGAAGTATCAATGCCCTATTTAATATTGAATTTGTTTTTACAAAAAAGCTGAAAATTAGTTACAATTATCGCTTTATACAGTAAGGGCCCCGGCATGGCCAGGTGGTTAGAGCGCTCGACTCGCAATCTGAGGGTAGCTGGTTCGAATCCCCGTCCCACCGAGAATGCTCGCCCTTTCAGCTTTGGGGTTTTAATCCCACTATTCGTTGGTAAAAGAGTAGCCCAAGAGTTGGCGGTGGGTGGTGATGACTAGCTGCCTTCCCTCTAGTCTTACACTACTAAATTAGGGACGGCCCCTAGCGCAGATAGCCCTCGTGTAGCTTTGCGCGAAATTAAAAAACAATCAAATATACAGTAAGACTTGTTGTTTACACGCTAACAAGTCGCAACTTGTTTACAATAATAAATAATTTATATAAATCGAATTTGTACTCAAAAGCAAATAACCTCACCATCTACCAATTCGATGTATTTGATTTTATATATATATATATATATATAGAGAGAGAGAGAGAGATGCAAAAGTCGCGCACGATCGTGATATATGCAAGTCCGCCCACACTATGTTGTTTCATAAAGTATACTTGTGTTTCACTAACTTTTGCTCAGATATTGGTTAGAATCTGATTACCCTTCCAGAAACTTGTGGAAGGGATCCTGTTCTGACATTGTGACGTGATATAAACGATGCACATTTCAAACAGAATGGTAAGGGCAAGATATGTAAAAAAAATCAAGATGATGCGCGACTTGTTCATCATGTTGTACATCAGATATGAAAATTAATTATACTTTTTTGTATAATTATAAATAGTTAAAAAAATATCATGGAAATAAGTAGTACCAGACGGGGTTTCCAGTAGTTTTGTGTGTAGAAGGAAGTATTGTTTGTAGTTTGTTAGTATAACAAGCAGTGGGTTACAAGGTCCAAGAACAAAGCTGCGTTATGCTTCTTAACACGCTCTACAATTTCAGCTTTGATGAGCGTTATAATTGGGATATTTAATCCGCTATTCGGTTACAACAAGCCGCTGGTCAATATCTTTAAATTAGAAATGGCTTTACCTAAACTTATGATATCTTTCTTTTAATCGCCTGATCTATGTATCAGAAAAGTTGTTGTTGTTCAGATTAAAAATACCCTCATTTATTAATTTTTAAAATGACGCCACTAGAGATTTTTCATTTTATACCTTAAGTAACATATGTCATTAGTATCAGTAACCCTACATAAGCGCATGGCCTTATTTCACATATATTAGTGATGAATAAAAACTGATCGTAAAGATAGTAACTTTTATTTTTAATGATATATTTCATTGACGTTAAAAAATGTAATCACTAAGAATTATCCATGTGCAGTAAGACTTCTTTCCACAAACCGATTTATGTATGCTATCACAACAAAGCTAAATTGCAAAACTGATATTGTTGGATTAACTACCAATTGTTAAGCCTAATTATTTTAATGTAAACTAATCATTTCAACCGTTTAATATCAAAAACACGTTTTAAAAAACTATACGAAAATGGTTTTATTACTTGATTGATCATCTGTGATTAACATATTTCTTTCTTTTAAATGTAATTTGTTTTGATCTTCTCAGTTTTCTAACAGTATGAATGAGAAGTTGGTTATTTTTGTAATTGGGTTTGTTACTAATAGTAAAGTATTACATAAAGGCTCTCCAGTTGGCAATACAATTAGCGAGGTATATGTTTATGAAACTTTATAATTTACATTTGTGTGTGTGCTTATTGAACTTTTCACGTGTGCATTTAATTCAACACTTTAAGTAAACATTTAATCCCATATTCTTTTTTTTATTATTAAACGACAGAGTGAACTTCGAAGGCACGAATTTCAAAATGGACACCGATTTTTCAAATTAAAACCTAAAAATATAGTAAATTCACGTCTGTATTTTGCTAATTGCAGGAAAAAGAAACTCATCTTCATCCTTGTGATCACGATTATCACCACAGCCGATCGCGATCTCCCTCCCCAGAAAGATTCAGGCATGACTCCCTAACTCCCCCACGACGAGGGAGATCCCCAACCCCCATCAGGAGGTCTTCTTCTCGACGGGGTGGCCACGACATTGGATTTTCTGAAGCTGTGACTGATCTTGTAGACAGAGTAAAGTATGAGACAAGCCGCAGAGGAAGAGCGAAAGGTATGACAGCTTTAAGTATCTGTGGCCTTATTGTTTTCATTTTTCTTTATCTTTTTAAGCATAAGGGAAAGCACAAAGTTATAAGTGAATTATATGCAGGATTTACACAAATTTAAAGTTTTGTATAATTTCTATACATATTATGTAAAACGTATGTGGGTCTCGTCTAAGTTTTTCTCTTGTACTTTCAAAAAGTAGCTAGAATTAGGTTAAACTTTTCAGAGATATGCTGAAAGAATTAAGAAAGTAATAATTTGTATTCAATTCTTTTGTGCCCTCTGTATGTGTAGCTAAACTTAGGGGCGATGAGTTCGGCATCGCTGGTCAAGGGCGGACGTTTCGAGGAAGATCGCCGATTCGCTCTATGCCAGGTAAGCCGTCGCCCTGGCGAACATCCTCACCTTTACGAGGGCGGAGTCGAAGTATTAGCCCAGAATACCGGACGACGTGTTTCTACAGGCGATCACGTAGCCCCAGCCCGAACTCCACTCCAGGCCACAGTGAGTATTATGGTAGAACCCAGTTAGAACAAAGATCACGTAGCCCAAGTCCAGCTTCTGCGCATAGCCTACCGTTACAGCGAATGCCAAAAGGGAGGAAATTGCCTCCAACCCCCAACAAGCCCTCAACCTTGCGCCTTGATGTTCGATCAGTGGAAGGGATCAATTTTCCTATTGTGTCTCATTCGCCTACACTGCCCCAACCTAATAATAAGACCCCCTTTAGTATTAATTTTCCCAAAGTGAATGCCTCGCCTACTCATCTGCCAAAGTCTCAACTGCCGTTCTGGCGCCAGAGAACAACTTCAAGTGTAAGGTCTCACAGCCCTTCACTAAAGCAAGGAGAAAGAACTGGTAGTAGTATTAGTTTGCCACGTACTCAACAGAAGACTCATAGTATTGATCGACATCATCAAACTATTCTGCCTTATACGGACAGAAATTTTGGCACTCTTGGTCATATTAGTGAACCCCTTAGCTTTGAAGCAGCCGCAGCTATTGGAATGGGTTCACGTCAGCTTCCATCGCCATTACCTAACGGTTACAAGCCGGGCCAAAGAGAACGTGAAAGACTACGCGAAAGAGTGAATAAAGAACCATCTCTAGCAAGCTTACGGACAGGCCACATGGGGCCGCAAAGTGACTCCGAAGATGATTGGTGCTAGATAGCCAATCTCTCTTTCGCATAAGAATAGTTACAAGTGAGTGTCCTTTGTTTTTACGTATAGAAAAAAACAAATGTATGTTCTCCTTACTGAAAAACAGACACTAGATGGAAATTTATTATTGTTTTCCAAAGAATTGCAAGGAGGAAAAGAAGTGACGTAGAACGTCATTGTTCCTGAACAAACAAGAAAAATACTTATGTAAATAACAAATTGTTTTATTTCTCGTGATTACGGTTAACACTTCACTTTTGACCTTTTAATTTCAACTTTAAAGTGTTTTGATGCTAAAAGCTTTCTTGTTTTTTTCGATTAACTCTTATCTTTTTCTTATACTCCAACCCTCGTCTTTCATGCTCATTCAGCTGTGATAGACCACAATGCTGCACGTATGAACTCCATAATTTCCGAAGTATGTCTAGAGTTAAATTTGACTGAATATTTACTTTGCATCTTGCACAAAATGTTCACGCTGAAAAAAGGATAAGAAACTGTGTACCAATGTTATAATATTTTTCAGTATATATATATATATATATATAGTTTATTTATAAATGTCAGAATCTTTCAGTAATCCCAAAATATTTATCAAATATCAGTATTCAGAGTATAAGTATATTAAATCTGTCTTAGAGTCTTATAGCATATAAACCTTTTAAAATTCGTCAAAAAAATATGCCAATGTACTATTGTTGTTCGGTTTTATGAACTTTCTTGATATTGTATAAGGCTTAGCATCAAAGGGGACACATAAGCAATTTTTTCGCGATGTGGTTATTACTATCCAAAATTAATGATGTAATATTACTCTTATGTATTTGTAAGCCATGTCTGTTTTCACCATTTTGAAGTTATTGAGTTAATTCTAACATGCTTTTTACTGCATAAAATAAATGAAAAAGTTCTAAATTTTTTATTGGAGTACCGTGAAAAGTACATAAAACAAGCCTTGGTAGACGGCACACTGTTGTAAATAAAAATTAATGCGTGCAGGCTTTTAAGTTGACAAATTCTCTCAAATTTATCTGTGAGTATTGTCTCCCATACTTTTCATATATAATAAATCGTAAAGTTAGATATAATTGTAATTTTAATTCATCTCCAACAACAATAAAACAAATTATGGCTTTTAAAAAAGCTATGTGTTTTCAGTCGTGTGAGGCAAAACATCTTCGTGATTAATTTTTTGTCTGATTGGGCCTTTGTATATTTTCATCTGCTCAGTATGTTCACCGTAAATTAAAAAGGAAGCGAGATTACTTATGAATAATGAAGATTTTCAATAGATAAAAGACCTCCAGAAAATAAGGAGTGGATTCCATGAGGGAGTGAAATGTAAATCAGTTAAAATATAAAGGTCTTATTTACCTTTTTCTACTTTCTGTCTTCATACCATTTTTTTATATTAAACATAGAGAAGATTTAATGTGATATACACATTAATGTCAAACTAAAGGGAATGGTAACATTTTATTCCTATCATAAGCTGATCTTCACAAAACATTTCCCATGATGGATTGGAAGAAGGCATCGTCCGGTCTAGTGTTTGGTCGTGTTGTTGTTCGCGACCTGGGAGAGTCAGGTGCAATTTTGACCCCTTCCTCCTGAAGGCATCGCTGAATATTGCTGTTTGCTCTTGAATAGTACCGCTTATTTCATCATTTACTAATTACTAAAAAGTTCCGCGTTGATGCGATACATAGTTTTTGTCATGATATTTAATACCCTAAATGTTTAAGTTTAAAATTATTTTAAACCATCTGGTTAATTTAAAATTAAGGTTGTTGTTTGCTATTAAGCACAAAGGGCTATCCATACTCTGCCCAACACGGGTGTGGAAGCCCGGTTTCTAGCAGTTCAAGTCCGAAGACGTACCGCTATAAATAAAGACTTAATTCAGTTATTAATTAAATCCAAACGGTAATAAGCTTGAGTATTGTATTGAAGTTTAATTATTTTGCTGCGTGAGTGAAGGATGGTGTTATTAAACATTATTATAAAGCTTTTCAGTATTAATAATTTTGGAAATGCGGACCATCTAAGAGATTGATAACAGATTATTCTATCATTATACAAAATAAGCAAAATATGAAAAAGTTAATTTATATTTATGTAATTAATTAAATTACTTTAACACGTTGACAATAAAATAAAACATTTTAATGAAAAACGTATCAAAACTCGAAAACATATCAAATTATTTACACTAACGACATTATAATATCATTCCTTTTCCCTTTATTTTTTTACAAATGATAATTTTTGTACGCCACACAATGTCGCGAAAATTGTGAACATTTTCTCTTTAAAAACAAAATTGTACAATATACGTTGATAGTAATACATTTTACTTAAACTCTATACCCAAGCAAACATATCATTACTATTATCGTCAAAATATTATCAGAAGTAGTATGATAAATCCTCATTGGCATAAAAGTTAGAAAGTGTTCTGTAAACAAGTTTATTACATAACTCTGTAAATTTCGTATGTAATCGCCATCTTCTTTTTTATCACTTACAACAGTTAAATGTGCTAGAAAATATTGAATTATAATTTCAGAATATTTTACTATAACCTTAATTTAGCTTCCGTATCTAAGACTTGGTTATTTCGTCATACTTTTGAGGACAAATATGAAATTGACATTTTCAATGCCTATATATATATATATATATACAGTTAATTATATAATGCGGAATACT